CCTGGTACATGTGTGAAATAATGCTATATAGTTCTGTGAATTGAGTGGAAGGTGTTTGCTGGTTGACTACTGGTGGGAACTTAAATGGGGAGCACAAAATAATTGGGGGTCTGTAGTAAATGTTCTATTTCATTTCCATATAAAGTTATTTTGGAGACATGAGAAATATTTGGTAGGGCAGTCAAGATTCAAAGAACAGGCACAAATGAATAAGATAATTGTTTCCTCAGCAGGAGCTTAGTGAAGATGTTAAAATGAATGGCAGCATCTCTCCCCAGCAGTAGGAAAAGCTGTAGTGGAAACAGCAGACAACGATCTGGTTGGATGCAGAATTCTCTCCACTTGTGCAGTCCTTTCTTTGCATCCAGGCTGTTCCATGTTTAAGAATGAATGGAGATTTTTCTGGATTTTGGCCCAGGCCATTCCCAGTATCTCCAAGGTCCATTTGCCTACATTGTCACCTCTGTTCCCGCAGTAACATTTAATATGCTTCTGTCAACAGTGTGTTTGCCACTTGCACACCATACACTGTAAACGTTTAGAAAGTGTTTCCGAAACAGAAACAAGGGCAGTGGGCAGTGGGCAAAATGAAACAAAATGTACCAGGAAGCATTTTAAAACACATCTTTCAAATTGCCAGGTGTATTCTACATACCATTGAAATAAATAGCAAAATTCCCATTCTTCTTTGTATCAACAGATGAGGCCTGTAGAGACAATGGAAAAGGAAGTCAACCAGACACTAGTTACTGATTTTGTTATGGTGGGTTTCACAACACATCCAGTCCTGCGCCTGGTCTTCTTTGTGCTGTTCTTGGTCTCATACACTCTCACGCTGACTGGGAACTTGGGTCTCATGGTCCTGATCTACCTTGATTCCCACTTGCACACCCCCATGTACTTCTTTGTGGGCAGCCTCTCCTTCCTGGATATCTGGTACTCCTCAGTGTACACTCCCCGGATCCTGTCTGACTGTGTGTCCAAGAACAAGGTCATGTCTGTTGCGGGTTGTGCAGCACAGTTCTTCTTCTCTGCCGGCTTGGCCTACAGCGAGTGCTTCCTATTGGCTGCCATGGCATATGACCGCTATGTGGCCATCTGCAACCCACTACGCTATGCCATTGCAATGTCCAAGAAACTGTGCATCCAGCTGGTCATTGCTTCTTATGTAGCTGGCTTTGTCGATGCCATTGTACACACAGCCAACACCTTCCGCCTACGCTTCTGTGGGGACAACACTATCGACCATTACTTTTGTGATGTACCACCATTAGTGAAGATGGCCTGTGATGATACTCGCGTCTATGAACTCATCATGACTTCTGTCATGGGTTGCAATGTATTGGCAACCACTGCTCTCATC